TCTCTCAAGATGTAGTGCGCATGATCTAGGATTCACGTGCTGCTTCCACCACAGCGCTGTGCACATCAAAGTGGACAGCCTTTCAGCGCTGGTGTACGGAGAAAGGTGTGGAGGCCACTTCATGTCCACTAGGTGGCGTGATGTCCTTTCTACAACAGATGATGGACAGAAATCTGGCGTTCAGCACAATTAAAACGTATGCTGCAGCCATTTCTTCCTGTCACGAAGGCTTCGGTGACAGAATAGTTTTTAATCACCCGCTGATGAAGCGTTTTCTAAAAGGTGTACAACTGCTGTGTCACGCCCTTTAACTCCTTAGTGGGACTTAACAATGGTTCTACAGGCCCTGATCAAAGCTCCTTTTGAGCTGTTAGGTCAGGTTTAGATTAAATTCTTGTCACTTAAGACAGCCCTGCTGTTGGCTTTGACATCAGTGAAAATCAATGAAAAGAAGTCTGAAGTCATGTTGTTCCCTCCCAACGACATGATCACAATCCACTGCATCGACCTCTCCGCTCTAACCCTGTCAGAAAAACAAAGAGTCACTAATCTGGGCGTGATAATGGACCCTTCCCTGAAACTTAACAATCATGTAAACATGATTGTTAAATCATGTTTCTTCCAACTGAGGCGGCTGTCTAAACTGAAGCCCATATTGTCCAAAAATAACCTGGAGACAGTAATACATGCATTCATTACATCTAGGCTTGATTACTCCAATTCACTCCTGTTTGGTATCAGTCAGACCTCTATAGCACGACTACAACTGGTCCAGAATGCAGCAGCCCGATTTTTAACCAGTACAGGCAAAAGAGAGCACATTACACCAGTTTTGGCCTCCCTGCACTGGTTACCGGTTCACTTTCGAATCCAGTTCAAAATACTCATGTATGTCTACAAATCACTGAACAGTTTCGCCCCCCATCTCTCTGATCTGCTACAACTATATGTCCCACCGCTCGTGACCATAGGATACTTGAACTCCTCCACTTGGGTTAGGACCTCCTCTCTGACCCGGAGAGGGCACTCTACCCTTTTCTGGTTCAAGACCATGGCCTCTGATTTGGAGGAACTGATCTTCATCCCGGCCGCGTTGCACTCAGCTGCGACCCGCTCCAGCGAAAGCTGTAGATCACGATCTAATGAAGTCAATAACACCACATCATCTGCAAAAAGCAGAGAAGCAATCCTAAGGCCACCAAAACGGATCCTCTCAACACCTTGGCTGTGCCTAGAAATTCTGTCCTTAACAGTTATAAACAGAATCGGTGACAAAGGGCAACCTTGGCGGAGTCCAACTCTCACTGGGAACAAGCCCGACTTACTGCTAGCGATGCGGACCAGGCTCTGACACCGGTCATACAGGGACCTAACAGCCCATATCAAAGGGCCCAGTACTCCATACTCCCAGAGTACCCCCCACTGGGTTCCCCGAGGGACGCGGTCAAACGCCTTCTCCAAGTCCACAAAGCACATGTAGACCGGTTGGTCAAACTACCATGCACCCTCCAGGACCCTTCTGAGAGTGTAGAGCTGGTCCAGTGTTCCACGGCCAGGACGAAAACCGCACTGCTCTTCCTGAATCCGAGGTTCGACTATCCGACTGACCCTCCTCTCCAGAACCCCCAAATAGACCTTTCCAGGGAGGCTTAAGAGCGTGATTCTCCTGTAGTTGGAACACACTCTACGGTCCCCTATTTTGAATAGGGGGACCACCACCCCGGTCTGCCAATCCAGGGGAACTTCCCCCGATGTCCACGCAATATTGCAGAATCACGTAAGCCAACACAACCCTACAACATCCAGAGCCTTAAGGAACTCCGGGCAAATCTCATCCACCCCTGGGGCCCTGCTACAGAGGAGCTTTTTAACCACCTCTGTGACCTCAGCACCAGAGATTGGAGGGCCCGACCCAGAGTCCCCAGGTTCCGCTTCCTCAATGGAAAATGTGCCGGTGGGATTGAGGAGGTCTTCAAAGTATTCTGCCCACCGACCCACAACATCCCGAGTTGAGGTCAGCAGCACACCACTCCCACTATAAATAGTGTTGGATGGATGGAAGAACCTAACAAAGCTCCTACACATTTTGTAGGACTCTGCATCTGCGTGATGGCTTCCACCTTGATCAGGTCTGGTTTTATGTTCTCAGAAATGATGGTGTGACCAAAGTACAGTCTCTAATTTGCTGAAATGGCACTTTGCTTTGTTCAGCTTCAAGCCACTGTCCTTGATGGTCTTCAGAGTTAGAGTTTCTTTATTTGTCATTTGCATCACATGTGGTACATGTAGTTGAACGAGAATGTGTACACAGGGTCCCAGTTACATCAAATAATAGCAAAGATATAAAGTGTAAAAAGAAACCGTAAATAAGGATCGGCGATATAGACTAAGATATATGCTAAACGAACACCAAACGGTACGTTAAAAAATCTAAGATATATGCCAGTCACTAATAGTGCAAAACAATACACTGAACAGCAGCAGCACATTTCTCATAAATTCTGTTCAGCTATAATTTACACAATGTGAGCACTAACATAAACTAAACTAACATAAACTGGGATTTATTCAAATCATGCAACAAAAATACAGAAACAAGGTGCCAAAAGTGAAAAATAAATAAATTACAGCAGCATGGTCCTGATTCAGAACTGCATTCAAGCAGCAGTCGTGATCCTCTTTAGTTGCTCCATAAACAATTATGCCATTCATCACTATGACAATGCCCACGTGATCATTTAGCAGTGTGGATAACTGTCTTTGAAAAATTTCTGGAGTTGACATGATTCCAACTGGCAGCCGTCTGAAGCAGAATCTACCGATGGGGGTTATAATTGATGTCAGCTTCCTGCTGCTTGCATCCAGAGGGATCTGCTAAAATCCATGAGGCATCTAACATGAGGCGTCTAAGGTGGAAAATAGTTTAGCCCCAGCCAGCTTTGGAGCAATGTCTTCCAAAGCTGGTAAGATGTAGGACTCTCGTTTCACTGCTTTATTAAGTGTTTCAGATCCACGCACACTCTTAGTTGGTCTCTGTTTTTCTTTTTGACAAGAACCATTGGGGCACACCAATCAGTGGGCTCAGTAACCTCTTCTGTTATGCCCAAGTCTAGCATATGCTTCAGTTCCATTTCAACCTTAGAAAGGAGGGGAAATGGGACGTGGCGTGGCGTTGTCAGGCTGTAGGAATTTGCATCTGTTTTCAGCTCTATTTTGACAGGGTCACATCAAAGCAGGCCAATTTCCCCAAAGATGTCCTCTATGAAGTCTGTGTCTATGTTTTTGATCCTCTTTACCAAACCCATCCTCCTGGCGATGCTCCCTCCCAGCAGGTTGTGAGCATAGGGTCCCTTTATGACGGTGACCCAGAACCGGTATTTCTATCTTTTAAGCTCACTCGTGGCCAGAAATTTGCCCACACATTGGACTTCACACCCTGGAATGATGCTAAGTGGCATTTCCCCTGTTGTGACCAATCTTGGGCTATTTGGCAGTATGTCCAATATGCTGATCACAATCCTGTCTCAAATTTGTTCGTCTTTGGTCCCTCCAAACTTACAGTACTGTACCAGCTCATATAAACTTCTAACGAACGCTTCGACCGGCTCTCCGGCTTTCTGCGCTCTCTTATGAAAGCAAGCTCTTTCGTGAATAATGTTTCTTATAGGCATGAAATGGTTGCTAAATTTTGCCATTACCCTCATGTAATCCATCTCGGGATGAGTTTCTGAGGTTTCGTCATCTGACGCTTCTTTGTCGTTCTGCCCCTCATACACAAGAGTCATAAATAGTCTCTACCTCTCTCCCCATGGTGTAGAGAAGTGTGTTAACCTGCACTCCCGCTCTCTCTGTCCAGCTTCGATGCCACTCTGAAGCAGTCAAAGCGATGGCACCACATAGGCCAATCTGCCGGGCAGGAGAAGTTGAAAGCTTCTGGTGGTCTGAACTATGTAGACATCCTGTCAGCCACTTCTGAAACCATGTCATAAACGGCTAACTTTTTGAAGACGCAAAACATGGACTCCCTAGTTCAGCTTGGAAAACTTGCTTTATTTTTCTACTGTGTCACAGGATGTACTGTGCAGACTCACAGACCCCCGGCTATGGAAGTCCCATTTGTTCTTTTTTTTTTAACAAATAGGATGTAAAAAAAAGAAAAGTAAAAAGAAAAGAAAAGTAACAAAAAACAGCTAGATTCTAAGGTGAATGTAAAAAACTAAAAACAGGAACATTTCTGCATTGGTCCCTGCCAGGAGTCCAACAGATTCTTAAAGCCACTTGGAGAGGTCAAGGTCGAGAGCTTGTTTTCTACATTCGCCTTATAATCCAGCTGTTTTTGCTCCTTTTTTGCCATCTTATTTTAATTTGTAAAAAAAATTCTGTATGCCTCTTTTATGATTCTCTATTGTTGTTGTTGTTGTCCATTGTTGTTATCTTTCTTTGTTGAAATCAGGTCTCTCTTGTAATTGAGTCCTCGAGGTTCAATGGGATTTACCTTTTGTATGTTGCTTTGTGTGTTGCCTGTTTTCTTTCTGTACAGCACTTTGGTTGGCCTTATCGCTGTTTTAACTGCTCTGTAAATAAAATGGTATGGTATGGTAACCTGTCTAAATAAAGGTTGAATGAAAAATAAAGACTCCAGTCAAATACTCAAAGTTTTAAGATGATATTCTGACTTTACTTTCACAGTTTTTCCTCAAAGTTCCAAAACGAGAATATCTCTTCAGTTATCAAAGGTGAGTTCAAAAAAGTTCAAGACAAAAACAACTGGACTTTATTTGTAACAGAAGACTGAGAATCTTCACCAGCGTATCAAAGGTGAGGCTTGTGGGAGCAGAACCAGAAGTCCAGTTCTCGTTAAAGCCTCCAAACTGAACGTTCATCGGTGGTGGGAAGGGATCAGCAGGTAATTTCAGAGGGGATGCTTTCTGAAACGTGTCATGTTCCAGCTTCTGAACTCAGAAATCCTGACAGCTGAGTATTTCTGTAATCCCGCAGAAATGCTGCAGGAGAGAGCTTCAGCTGTGACAAATGACTTGAAGATCCAGGTCCAAACCAGTGGGGAGACAGATGTACCAGAACAGCCACCACTTGGCCTGTCCACAGCTGCAGGCATGCCCAGCTCCTCGAGGCCCGAGCAGGTACACACACAGGAGCTATTTTGGTTGAAACAAGTACCACAAACCCATTCTGAGTGTTTGTTAAATGATAAATCACTCAGTGCATCTGTAAGTGAACGTTTGAACCCCAAGTGCTTTAGAAGACTCATGTTGCCTATTCTGACTCTTTCAGAACACGGAGACCCTGAAGGTAGCTCTTCATGAGAAGGAACTGTGGCAGAAGTTTCATGAAGCTGACACGGAGATGATAATCACAAAAGCAGGAAGGTTAGTAAAGCCAAGAACTAGAATGTTCCTGTAGAAACTGACGGGGACTGCCACGTCGCAGCCATTTCAAAGTTTTGCTTTGACAGAAAGTGTGTTCGAGTTCGCTCTCAGCTATGACCACACCAAATTTCAGCTCAATTTGGCAACAAATCAGTGAGTCATAGTCATTTTTTTTTTATTTAAGCTGTAGCCATCTTGATCCAAAATGGCTCCAAAAGTTAATCAGTGTTTTGTTCAGAGAGCTCTCCACTCTCAGTCATGTGACCTCACTGTGTCAGTTAGAGGCTGTGAAGAGTTCTGTCAGTGTTTTTTTTATGAGAAAAATGGTGTCTTTGTTCACAAATTAAGTCTCCGTGGTAACTGGAATAAAAGTAACAGCACACATCACAGCGCCGAGCCGGTCATTTTGATATAACGTGTGGGGGCACATTGTGGTTCGGGCCACATTAAAGTTGAAGGAAGAGTAAGACCCCCTTCAGGTGGATAATAAGAGGTGCTGCCTTCAGGCAGTCCCCAATAAATATTGATCTTTTGTCATTACTATTATTGTTTTTATTTTGTCTTTTGTTCCCTGCTTGCTCTCAACGAAGATGGACGCTTTTCCCTCTCCCTCCTGCTTCTGCTCTTTGTCCTGGTGTATTCACATGTATACACATTCTGGTGTATTTTAACAGGTTGTTGAACATCTAGTTTTACCTACACAAGTAACACTTGATTCAATAAACTCTCGACCTTGACCTCTCTAAGGGACTTTAAACAACTGCTAAGTTCATGGCAAAAATCAATGCAGACATGTTCCTGTTTTCAATATTTTATATTGCTTTATAATGTAACTTTTTTAAAAATAAATTCTTCCATTTACTTTTTATTTTTGAGTCTTAACTTTTTTTTTGGGGGGGGGGTTATATTTTGAGTTCCCGAGGCTCAATGGGATTAACCTGTATAAATAAAAGTTGAATGAATGACTGGATTTTATCTGCTTTTTATGATTGTCTACTTGTCATCTATGTTCTTTGTTTTAAATGGGTCTCTCTTGTAAATTAGTCCTTGAGGCTCAATGAGACTAACCTGTAGAAATAAAGGTTGAATTGAATTGAAATAACTATTTAGAGTTAATGTCATAACAAGAAGTAGCTTGACCAACAGCTCTCCTTGTGTGAATAGAGCACGCTTCATTTCTCTCACACATCCTAGCCACAGTCTAAGAAACACAGTGCAGCCTAAGTAAAGTTTTAGGGGGAAAAAATCACTAGCCAATATGAAATAATAATAATAATAATCACTCCTTATCAATGGCCTAGAATAAAACAATATGATCATCATCCATCCTTAGTAACTTAAAATACCTAATTAAAACTCTAGTAAGGGGCTAGGTCTACTGTAATGTTACCCAGTTGTAGGGTCAAAAGACAAACATGTAGCATTAACACAGTATGAACAACATTCAGGAATTGTTTCTATAAGAACATTATCAAATATTTTACATGAACGGTAAGATTGCTCCACCCATGATCAATTGTAACCAGGGGTGAGCTGACCTCGGACAAAGAAACAAACATGGCTGTAATGGTGGAGGTAGTGAAGCTCATAGTGTTTAGTGAGGCATTTCTGTCTTATCAGCCAACATTAAGGCAAAGGAGACAAAAAAAAACATTGAATAAGATAAAAAAAATTCTAATCTACTAATAACTTGAACTAGTTCCTGCAGTGGATGTTTTCATGCTGCAGAGTGACACAGGGCAAGAACTCATAGTGAAATTCAGTTTGTAAGAGTAAATTTTACATTACACAACCTATTAAACACTTTGTACAAAATCAGTTCAATTTAAACTGATCATAACGAACAAAGACTAACCTTATACAACTGGAAGTTGCAACACATATCTACATATAAAACACAAAAATCAAAGCACAACTAGCATTAACATTTAATTTAACCACTGTGACAAATAATGAAGGATTTACCTGCAGTTACCGAGGGCGGGGACCCTGGTGGTCTGATCTTTGACTACAGAAGCTAGTTATTGGGACGTAGAATGTCACCTCTCTGGTGGGGAAGGAGCCTGAGCTGGTGTGTGAGGTTGAGAGGTTCTGACTAGAAATAGCCAGACTCACCTCTACGCATGGCTCTGGAACCAGTTTCCTTGAAAGGGGTTGGACACTCTTCCACTCTGGAGTTGCCCCTGTTGAGAGGCGTTGAGCAGGAGTGGGCATACTTGTTGCCCTCCATCTTAGTGCCTGTACATTGGGGTTCACCCCAGTGAACGAGAGGATAGCCTCCCTCCGCCTACATGTGGGGGGATGGGTTCTGACTGTTGTTTGTGCTTATGCACAAAACAGCAGCTCAGATTACCCACCCTTTTTGGAGTCCTTGGAGGGGGTACTGGAGAGTGCGCCTCCAGGGGACTCCCTTGATCTGCAGGGGGACTTCAACGCTCACGTGGGCAATGACAGTGAGACCTGGAGGGGCGTGGTTGGGAGAAACGGCCCACCTGATCTGAACCCGAGTGGTGTTCTGTTGTTGGACTTCTGTGCTCGTCATGGAATGTCAATAACGAAAACCATGTTCAAGCATAAGGGTGTCCATATGTTTTCTCAGCACCAAAACACCCTAGGCTGCAGTTTGATGATCGACTTTGTTGTTGTCTCATCTGATCTGCGGCCGTATGTCTTGGACACTCGGGAGAAGAGAGGGGCGGAGCTGTCCACTAATCACTACCCGGTGGTGAGTTGGCTCCAATGGTGGGGGAGGATGCCGGTCAGACCTGGAAGACCCAAACGTATTGTGAGGGTTTGCTGGGAACGTCTGGCAGGGTCTCCGGTGAGACGGAGCTTTAACTCCCACCTCCGGGAGAGCTTCGAACACGTTCCGGGGTAGGTGGGGGACATTGAGTCTAAATGGGCCATGTTCCGTGCCTCTATTGTCAAGGTTGCTTATCAGAGCTGTGGCCACAAGGTTGTCTGTGCCTGTTACGGCGGTAACTCTCGAACCTGGTGGTTGACACCGGCAATGAGGGATGCTGTCAGGCTGCAGAAGTAGTCCTATTAGGCCTTTTTGGCCTGTGGGACCACGGAAGCAGCTGATGGGTACCGGCAGTCCAAGCGGCATGCAGCTCAGGTGGTCGCTGGGGCAAAAACTCAGGCATGGGAGGAGTTCAAAGAGGCCATGGAGAATGACTTCCATACGGCTTTGAGGCGATTCTGGTCCACCATTTGGCATCTCTGGGGGGGAAAGTGGTATGCCACCAACACTATTTATAGTGGAGGTGGTGTGCTGCTGACCTCAACTCAGGATGTTGTGGGTCAGTAGGCAGAATACTTTGAATACCTCCTCAATCCCACAGGTGTGTCTTCCACTCAGGAAGCAGAGCCTGGGGACTTTGTGTTGGGCTCTACAATCTCTGGTGCTGAGGTCACCGAGGTGGTTAAAAAGCTCTTCGGTGGGAAGGCCCCAGGGGTGGATGAGATTCGCCGGAGTTCCTTAAGTGTCTGAATGTTGTCGGGTTGTATTGGCTTACACAACTTTGCAATATATAGTCTTATGACTCTTTTGAATCACTGTCCCTCAGTCTTTCTCATCCAAAATGGAAATCAGAAAAGCCACTTTTACTAGTTGTTATATATCGTCCACCAGGCGCTTACTCTCAGTTTTTGTCTGAATTCTCAGAATTATTAACTGACTTATTATTAAATACTGATAAAATCATCATAATGGGTGATTTCAATATTCATGTGGATGTTGAGAGTGATAGCTTAAGCATAGCCTTTAATAATTTAATAGACTCATTTGGTTTTACCCAAAACGTCCGCACATCTACTCACTCTTATCATCACACTCTTGATTTAGTTCTGACCTATGGTGCAGAGATTAAGGACTTGGTAATAGTTCCTCAAAATCCTGTTCTGTCCGACCATTTTTTAATAACTTTGAGTTTACATTAAATGACTACACAGTCACTGAGAGTAAATTTCATCTCAGCATGTGCTTATCAGAAAATGTTGTAACCAAATTTAAACAATCTCTTCCATCAATGTTTCCTCTGTCTTGCAGAGTAATGCATCAGAGAACAGAGACTTAGATCATCTAGTTGATCATCTTACAACTTCAATGCAAACTTCACTTGATAAAATTGCTCCACTGAAAAAGAAAGTAATCAATCAGAGGAAACTGGCTCCTTGGTTCAATTCTGAGTTACGTACTTTAAAACAGCATCTAGAAACCAGGAGAGAAAATGGCACTCTACTAATGTTGAAGAATTTTATTTAACTTGGAAAGATAGTCTGCTAACATATAAAAAAGCTCTCCGTAACGCTAGAACTTTATATTACTCATCTTTAATAAAGGAGAATAAAAATAACCCTAGGTTTCTGTTTAGTACTACTGCTAGACTAATTAAAAGTCCCATTTCTGTTGAACCATGTATCCCTACAACTATAAGTAGTGATGACTTCATGAGATTCTTTATAAATAAAATTATTTCAATTAGAGAGAAAATTCAAACCATCCTTCCTTCTACTATCTCTAGTCCCCTGTCAAATGAGACAACTTTAAAAATTTCACTAGAGCCTGATTTATGTTTGGACAGTTTTTGTCCTGTTGAGCTCTGAATTGTCAAACAAATAATAACCTCATCCAAACCATCCACATGCCTGCTAGATCCCATCCCAACCAGACTGTTTAAAGAGGTATTTCCCCTAATTAATGTCCACATTTTGGATCTACTTAATTTGTCTTTAATGGATGGTTATGTACCACAGAGCTTTAAGGTTGCTGTAATTAAACCTTTACTTAAGAAGTCTGATCTTGATTCAGAAATTCTGGCCAACTATAGACCTATATCTAATCTAACTTTCATCTCAAAACTTCTAGAGAAAATAGTTGCAGGTCAGTTGCGTGAACATCTACAAAGAAATAATCTGTTTGAAGAGTTTCAGTCAGGGTTTAGAGCTCATCATAGCACAGAAACAGCACTAGTAAAAGTAACTAATGATATTCTCAT